GGGTGGGCCCGCAGAAACAACATGCAGCTACTAAACACCTTAGGAAAAAGTACTCATCGCGATGGAAACGTGCTGGATCTAACCTGGAGTAATACGACGGCAGTTGTATCGGTATCAGCACGGTTCGACTGTACATCAGACCACTCCACTATTGAAGGCTCGGTTGACACACTTGGATGCTCGCAGCTATCCGGGATCCCGAGGCTAATCCGCGTAAGAGACGGTGACCTAGACGAGTTTGCTCGATGCGTAAGGCAATGGGTAAGGCACGGCCCCCTCAGCAGTCAAACCGAGATTGAAGACTTCACAAAGAGCTTAATCAAAGTACTTCAAGACGCGATCAAAGTTGTCGGTCGAACACCCGCGGTGGGAAGGGGAAAAACAGCGCCTTGGTGGACTGATGAATGTAAAAGACGTCAGTTTGACTACAGGACAGCCAAAAGAACATCTGGAGATATAGTAGTGACACGTAGGGCTTTTCGAGCCGCAGTGAAGATAGCCAAACGTGAATACTGGACAAAGCAAGTCGAGGCAGCAGAGACAGAAGCAAAAGTGTTCAAACTTATGCGATGGGCCAAACCGAAGCCGACGAAACAGCCTCCTCCTCTCCGGGTATCACCAAACGAGTGGCTTTCAGATCCACTAGAGCGGACAGTTGCGTTGCGAGATTCTCTTCTTGCAAGGTATAACGCGAGAAACGACATCGATACGTGGGAGAACAGTCAACCAGAGTTGATTCCTTGGGATGGAGAGGTGTCACTGGAGGATGTCACAGCATCAACCATTGGCAGCAAAGAAACAGCTCCGGGGTTCGACAAGATTACCGTACGACTTCTCAAAGCCTGCTGGAGCATGATTGGAACATACGTCAGGGAACTCTTCCAGGCTTGTCTCAACTTGCAATATTTCCCTACGCCTTTCAAGGTGGCGGAAGTTGTGCTACTTCCAAAAATTGGACGCGACCTCTCCAGCTCAAAAGGATGGCGCCCCATATCGCTACTCTCCAGCTTAGGCAAAGGATTGGAAAGGCTCATAGCTAAAAGGATGTCCTGGCTTGCATTAAAACACAAGGCAGTACCTCCACAACTATTCGGCGCGCTACCAGGACGCTCAGCAGTCGACTTGGCATCATGTGTTATACACGATGCAGAAGCTGCAATGAGATCCAACAAAGTCACAGCTATGCTCACGCTGGACATACAAGGTGCCTTCGATGCAGTGCTACACAATCGGCTGCTCGCACGAATGCGAAGTCAGGGCTGGCCAGTACTACTCTGTCGCCTGGTAGAATCATTTCTGAAACAACGAAAAGTTTTGGTGAGACACGAAAAAGGTGTAACTGATGAGAAGCTTGTTGAGTGCGGAGTTCCCCAAGGATCACCACTATCGCCACTTTTATTTATGTTATACATCTCAATCCTACTTGAAGATGGAACCCCAAACTGTATATTCGGATATGCAGATGACATTGCCATTGTTCGCGTCGGTAAAAATCCTAGTGAGGCTGCTGAGGCTGCCCAGGTAGAAGTAGACAGGATAATCCAACGCGCTTCAACGCACATGATAAGGTTCGACCCTTCTAAGTCCAAGCTCCTGGTTAAAGGAGGAGGACCGAAGAAGAAACTAGACTCATCCAACCTCGCGGTCAGGGTTGAGGGACAGCTTATTACGCCTTCCGCGTACATTCGTTGGCTCGGGGTCTAGCTCGATTCCCAACTGACGTTTAGACAACATGTTCAAGAATGGTGTAATAAGGCACAACGACTATCTCACTTTATACGAAGTATTAATAGGGTCCAACGAGGTGCGGCTCCGGGACCATTAATCCGTGCAGTGAACGCATGTGTAGTCAGTACGGCAATTTATGGCGCTGAAGCTTGGTGGCCTGGACTCACCCGTATCACGACGGTACGAGATAAAAGAGTAAGTACGGGTGTCGGATGGCACCTCAAGTTACTAGATAGGACTATTTTGACTGCTGTTCGAGCCGCACTGCCAGTGTGGCGAACTACACCAAATATAGTTCTGCACCGTGAGTCAGGGATACTACCGGCAGAAATTATGCTACAGCAGCGACAGCTCCGAAATGCAGCCAGAATCCGCAGCTTCGACAGCTATCACCCCTTGTCGTCAAGGGCAGCTGAGACACCAAAGGAAGCAATTAAGCGACTCAAACTGAGAGAGGGGCAAAAAGATCGTGTCTTCAAGTTTCCAGAGCGATATCTGACACGCCTTCAGAATGGTAACCTCAACCTACCGGCATCAGAAGGACCTGGACAGCTTTACCAACCGATCATCGCGAGGGCTATGGCTAGAGCCAAATGCGACAAGGAGGAAAAGTCGAAGCGGACTAATCATTGGCTTAGAAATCTCCCTGTAGGGACGCTGTGTGTATATTCTGATGGGTCATCGACTGGTCCAGCATACTCAGCCTATGGCTATGCTATTTACAGGGACAGAGAACTCATAGCGAGCTGTGGAAATTTTCTCCCAGGAGCAGAGGTCTTTGATGCAGAAATCGTCGGGGCAGTTCGAGGCCTAGAAGCGGCGGCGGAAATTGGAGGTAGTATAGGTATCAAGGTACTCCTCGACAATCAAGAGGCGGTAAGAGCCCTTGTGAGTGGTAGAACGAGCTCTTCACAGTCTGAGGTCCGGAATTTTATTGAACTATACAAGGCTCAGCCTGCCGTAGAAGTCCACTGGGTTCCGGGACACAGTGGTGTTGAAGGGAACGATAAAGCCGACGCAATTGCAAAGGCAGCCCTTGCATCAAAAACCAGGGAAGGAAATATCCCGAGACCAGAGTGCACTCAGGAGGAATCTGACAAAGTCCTGACATTCGCAGCACTTAAACGCCAAGTCACAATACGAGTACAGAAACTCGCGGAAGATTGGTGGCATAAAAATAGATCGGACAGGTATGAAGATCTGGACTTACTGATGCGAAGAAAACGCCCTCCGGAGCTAGCTTTACCTCGATGGGCATATCACCGCCTCATTGCGGCAAGGACTGGGCATGGTGATTTCGCTAGCTATCACAGACGATTTCAACATCCGAATGAAGAAATGCGATGCAAATGCGGACGAGAGAAACGGCCATGGCATTTTGCAGAGTGTCGCCCGACCATCCAGAAATGGAGGACGGAAACGAAGGAACCACGACCTACGACAAGGGATATGATAGGGCAAGAAGGATGGCAGATATTCTGGCGCTTTCTAACTGTAACAAAATGTTACAGCAAAATTGAATCATAAACAGGGAACTTGAATGTCAGGTGTATTGCTTCCTAGGGCCGCTCAGTGTGGCACGAGGATGGAGGTGTAGTGCAGGGCGCTAGCACCTCAGAAATGGTGTTTTTTCTTTTTATTTGTTTTGTTTCTATATTTCTGGCTCCTATGAACCAATCATGTAGGTAGCGAAGAGTCTTATATAGATCTGGACTACCCGTGCCATGCCCCCTGGGTGCTGGGTCAGTACCCGGTCACGATAAAAATATCATTATCATTATCATTTATATTTCGGAGTCAATGAGTATGTCAAGGGCTCGGGCGCGTGGTGGCTGAGGCTGAGGAGGAATATGCGCTTGGGCGCGTCAAAAGAGGGATCTCTGGACGGTTGGGCATGACATGATTCAACACATGGTTGAAGTCTGAGGTGGTCCGGTCATTTAGGTGGGACGAGGCACCTATACTTTACGGTAGTTAACCTGATCCAGCCCGGCCCCACCCGTGCTTCAGCTCCAGTAAGAGTGCAACGGGAATCACTATACCTAGCACGTAAATGAACAAAACAAAAAAACATTCTTCCGTTGATACCCATCCAGGAAAATGTCCCAAAACATCTGAGTTGTTCAGACATGCCTCCATATGCACTGAATTTTCTCCGCGTGAAATCTGGTCTAAGGCGTCTCCTTCCCAAGTGGAGTAGGTGCCCAGGCTACTGAAACTATACCGGAGCTCACCACTAGGAGGTGGACCGCGGTTGCTTCTATCTCTAGCTTGTATTTATAGTATCAGCTGCAGTCTCGTAATCAAACGTTTGGCACGCACAGAGCTCAACTCGTAAAACTCATTGTCAGAAGTCCAAACTTCGCGCCCGTCGAGAAGGTACTCATCATCTAAGTTATCTTGCACACTTGTCCTGATCCCTCACGTCCATCCTAAAGACCTGTCTCCCAGATTTGTGCGCCACGCTTTACTTCCTCCGTCGGGTATAAATATCGGCGTGGGCGAGTCCTTGGTAGCGAGCTGAGGCCAGAGAAGATGGAAGAGAGGCGTGGTCATTGAAAGGAGGATGCACAAGGTCGTACTTGTACACTTGATTGGCTTTAAGCAGAAGTCGATCCCGTTGGGAGTGAAAGACTGACATGGAGGAGTATTTTGAATCATTACCACGTGGGCCAACTTCATTGGTATTGCGAAATTTGACTGAGCTTGGCTCTGGAAGAATATTTCACTCTCAGGTTCGTAGAGGAAATCACGTACAATTGTTCAGTCTTGCCCTCGATGTAATTTCCTGGTGAAGATATCTAAGATGGAGAAAAAATCACATGATCGATAAAATTGGGCTACGACAGTCGTATGAGCAACGGGAGGAAGACGATGCACGGTGAGTCGACGGAAAGTGTAATGTGGTGGATGGACTGTCGAATACGTCACTCGGTAGAGCACGTGCAGCATTTCTGACAGGTAACGTAATCTTGATACATATTGAGGGGTGAGTAATGCGCGTTAAACAATAGTGAAACTATTTACAACCGTAAATAAAGGAGCTGGAAGTGAGATGAAAAATCCACCTGTGTTTGGGTGTGGGTTAAAATGACAGTGGCGGAATTTACTGGCAACTAACTGCAACGCCGTACGGGCCAGTTAAATGTTCTTATCTAGTGTAGTCCATGACTAAAAGAGAAAAACGATAGTTATCTGCGGTAAGCTGTACCTTGCAAAGAGAATCATGTACGTGTGAAGGTTACAAAAAAGGTCCGTTACACATTTTTAATTTACAGTTCTCGCCCACTAGCACGCGTAGCTTGTTCATCTCCCATAACTTTCGAATCCTTCTCGTTATCTGTATCTCGGTACCAACCAAGAGCGCGAAGTCTCTCAGTAAGAATTGGATGTGAAAAGTGGTAGGTGGCGAATAGCCAATCAGCATCCATAGTGCTTAAGTTCTGAATCTGAAGCTTGATGAGGGAGTTTGCTAGGTCTGTAGAGTATCCGAGTCCCTGTGCGAAACTGTCCGCCTCAAATTCATATCGCCGAGAAAGAATGTTCATCAACAACTTAATCACTGTATCCATAGGGGCTAGGGCGTCGGAAAATAGGATGAATCCTATTATTATAGGAAATTCATTGATGAATCCAAAGGACTGATAAAGCGACTTATTGTTAATAAAGACAGAGAAAAGCGCAAAAATATAGAAAAAGTGTGCCTAAAATTGTCAAATTTCTACTTAATTCTCGAATCGGGTGACTTACTTGTGAAATGGCAAATAGTTTTGTTGTGTGTCCTAAGCTCCAGTGGCCTAATTCATGTGCAAGAACTGCAACGACTTCCTGGGGTTCGCTTTTCTCGATGAGAGTGTCGTAAATGACAATGTGTTTTTTCCATGGCATTCCAAAGAAATAGGCGTTACTATGAGCACTCCTTTTGCTACCATCGATAACGTATAGCTCGTGTAGCGGAAATTTCAGTCTTTTTGCTAGGCTTTCTACACCTTTCTTAAGATCTCCAGGATCAAGAGGAGAAAGTTTGTTGAAGAGGGGAAGAATAGTAATGGGATATATAGTAATCATAAATACTTGCAGTGCGGCTCCGAATAACCAAAGGTAATAAAAAAATTGATTTCCAGTCTTCTGTATTATAGCAAGAAAAGCGGCCAAAATCGGAGGTGTAAGTACGAATGTTAACATTTGACTTTTGATGATATCCATTATGAAGAGCCTCGGAGTCTGTTTGTTGAACCCGAATCTCTCTTCCAGCACAAATGTTTGGTAGAAAGATGTTGGAAAAGAAAGTATTTGTTGTATAATAATGAAGATTAGAACAAAAATGATGGATTGAGATATTTCTCCAGCGTAGTTTTCGGGCACAATTCTTCGCATTAGTGAACCGGTGAGCGTCCATAACTTAGGTAGTACATCGTAACAGATAAAGGAGATATTTTGAATTTGACCATAAAGACCACTATAAAAGCCGAACTTGGCTTTAGCGCGTCCATAAGCCTAACGTCTATCAGTATCGAATTCTTATTTACATGTTATAGGGATTCTAACTTGACTCTTATCAAAGACTGCCTGAGATACGTCTGATTCAAGTGCCTTTGGTGGTCGTGTCTGCTTCAGAACCTTGTACTGGCGAAGGGAAAGGAACCCTTCAAAAAAGTATTGAAAGAATGAAAAGCCAATTATAAGCTTTTTCCATGGGAACTCAGGCCGGTCCAACATAAACGCAAGCCGCTTTCACATATTAGTCTGGACCTTTGCGTATTGGTATTTATTTACCTGTAATAAATCCATATTTACTTAAGAAAAACGAAAGTAAGTTAGATGGTGAATAAATAATTTACATGGAGCATTGAAACCTTTTAATCTTGGTTTTCGACAATCTGGCTTCCTCTAATGAAAGTGGGGTCTAGAATTAATGGCTCTTAATAGTCGCACCCCCCAAGATAGAATTTATTTAACATTAATCCCTGAACCATGGGTCTTGAGATGTACAATGAAGTACTTTTGTCCTGCGTTACAACGCAGCATTCTCAGATAGTGCTGTGGTATGGCAATATTCCCAGCTTCCACTGTGAATTGTTTCTCTCCAGTAATACACGTGATCTTGAAATGAAAAAACAGATATTGTCACACGCTCTGCCACAACTTAATCAAGAGAGTTTCTGCGATCGCATGTCGTGCTACCAATTTCCGTGAGTCACTCAACTATGCCTCACTTTGGAGATTACCACCTAAATGAGGTTTGAGGTTCCCTGAACGAAATACTAAAAAGGTTATCTCAATCCGTAAATTTTGTAAACAACAGGCATAATTTTAAAACATTCGTCATATCGATAACTCAAGCATCTCTAGTCAATTTATCTACTTTAGCGACTGATAGCCAGAGAAAGGTACACGTGTTAAACCCGGCTTAAATTTATAAAGTTTTTCCCGTTTACTATTGAAGTCCGTTGATCACATAAAATCGACCAATTATCTTAACGGCAGATATCAGTTACATGAAATTTGGTCCCCATTGATTATATGTTACCAGCGGAAGTTCATGCAGTAAGACCGAAAGATTGAATAGTACTGTAATTTTTGATGACATCTTTATCTTTTCTACCTGCAGGTCATGAATACTAGGTGTTGGAGGTTCATATGAAGCTTTCAGCAATGCAAAAATACAAAGGTCAGCTTTCACTAACAGCACCTTTAAAATATGGCGATAAAAATCATTTTTAGAAGCTAAAAGGATAATTCGCTGGAGTTCAAGCATATGTTACCAAAAAATTGGTTTGGGCACATCAATATTACTATGGCAAACAATTTAATTTGAGTATTGTTTTATTTCCATCACTCCGGAGTCCAATTTCGGGTAGCAACATAGAAAAGAACAAATACTATTGCTAGAAAGCTGCTGTGAAATCCTTTGGATTATTGCAATCTTAGAAAATTATGATGATCATATTCATAACAAGAGATCCTTTGTGATATCCTCCAAATCAATTATCTCAAGAGAAGCGAATATTACAACCCTGCAATTCACTAGCATTTCTAATATGCTTTCCACAATATAATCCTAAAAAACATGATTGAGAAACCTAATTTGGTCCAAATAATATTATGCCTAGCATATATAATGGTCATTATTATTTCATTTTATTGCCCTACCTGAGTCTATGACTATGTAGGACATGTATCTCACGAAATGAGGTCGTGATCTGTACTATCGAACGACGTAAACAAAGTCTATTCTGCTTCTTTAAAGTCGTGAAAATCAAAGAGTCCTATATGATGCGCTCGAGAAGAGTTCATAGTAGAAAGATATTTTACAGTGATTAACCTAGCTGGCCCAGGATCCGTGAAAATGCGGGTCCTCTCTGCCTACGGGCCAACGATACCTATACCAGTAGTATATCCCCTCCTTTGCCTCCCACACAGCTCCCCTCAAACAGTATCATCCCTCACTATATGATGGTCATCAACGTGCGCCTAGCATCGTATCTTCATGTCGTCTTTGTCAAACTTCATCGTGTTTAACCACTTACGAGGTATCGAATAGTGTGACAGTTAAAGAATGAATGAAGGTTTATTCGTAACGGGCACAAGCCTAGCACCCGTGGAGCATGATACGGAAAAGGCTAATCCTCTGCTGAAGATTATATACCACTATTAGATTATGATTCCTTTAGATGGATAGAACTATGTGGCTGGAAGTAGATTCGATAAAGTATTGGGTTAAACAAACGTGTATTGTTACTACTGTCTCAGCATTCCCTAAGAATGCTGCAGCCTAGCTCGTACCAACGTTCCACTACTAGGCTCATCTACACGCGAATATGGAACTACTAACACAGGGTATATAAGTGTCGGAATATTTCCTATGGATTCTTTGTTTGAGGTAACTCAATAACAATTGTTTCATTCATTCGTATATATCTTCATTCTAGACGGAGCGCCAGGGCCTTGTTGACATTGAACACTCATCACATGATATATGCTTACACAGCTATTACTAATTATAACCCATTTGTCATTACATCTTCATAATTATTATTACCACCCAAACTCCAGCATCTTTGTTTAATGCACATCCAAATAAAACTTGTGTCCTACTATTTGACAATAAGATATCCAAACGCCTTACCCTTTTTACCCCTATACAAATAATAATCACGGAGGCCAAGACTGAACACCTGTCAGTGGTGCGATCTACGAACCTGGGAGTGAAATATTCTCACAGAGACAAGTTCAGTCAAATTTTCACTCCCAACGAGTCCGAATCCTATTCAAGCCTCATCAAGTTTGCAAGTACGACCTAGTACATCCTTATTCCAATGACCACACCTCTCGTCGACTTTCTCTGGCCTCAGCCGGTCACCAAATACACGCCCACGCCGATATTTATATCCGACGGAGAACACAAAGCGTGGCGCACAAATCTGGGAGACTGTTCTTTGGGATGGACGCGAGAGGGATCAGGACAAGTTGATAAGATGATGCAATGGATGGATATTACTTCGAAAGGCGTGAAATTCCGAAATATGGCAAGAGTTTTGCGAATTGAGCTTTGTGCGCGCCAAGACTTCGCTTGCGAGAGTGCAGTTGACACTATATACACAAGCAAACGATGGAAGGTGTTGTGGTCCGCCTCCTGGTGGTTATCTCTGGTATAGTTTGAGTAGCCTGGGCAACTACTCCCCTTGGGAAGGAGACATCTCAGACCATATTTTGCGCGGAGAAAAGTTGAAAGATGATGGAGGCGTATCTGGACAACTCAGGGTTTTTGAGACGTTCCCCTGAGTGGGTATTCACGGATGAGGGTTGACTTGGGGTGAAGAAAAAGCTGCCATAACTTGGCAGTGGTACTTGCAAATGAAATTCGAGGCAAGAGTGCTCCTCCTATACGTTGAATCATCTATTCTGTACTTTTCTTTTCTTTGATATTGTTTTTGTTTTGTTTATTTTATCCTAAGCTAAATCTATGTTTTCCACATTGGGTCAAGGACCGGCAGATCCGGCAGGGTTCCCTGTAACTTTTCCTACAACCTAACTCGTTCCAACCTCTTGAATCGCTACCAAAAGTGCAGCCGATTAAACTGAACCGAAAAATCAAGAAAATCAAAAAAAAACCCTCCGAAGACAAGAAGATTCCTCCTGATTGGACCCAAGCAATGTGCTTCTCACACGTTCCGTCGTCCGTCACACCTTCCAAATAATAAAATTTGTTCAATCTCCGCTGAGAGCAAAAGATGGATTTGCAGGCACCTTTGATCCAGCCGGTATCCTGCTATAGGTTGGTAGATGCCCCAAAATGTGAGGGCCTTGCACTCTGTTTCAGAGTGCATATTTGATCCGCAGTTTCAGCAGGCTGGAGCGCGGGAGCAACCACGAGTGGCGTGGAAGCCCAAATAGCGTTTGCACTGTTCAATTGATCGACGACGCATGTAGATGGTAGCCATACCCGAATCGTCGAAAAGGCGGAAGCCCGCACGAGGGGCTTCGTCCCGGTGAAAAAGGGCATGCCAGTTTCGATAAGGCGATCCAGGTCGACACATCCCATGAGGTCGGACATGGATGGGATACGCGCTGGTCGTAAGGAATATCTCAGCGGTGACACTTGCAGCATTGGTCGCTACGGGGCCGTACTGTGAAACGATACTTACAGGTACGTTCGGTATCTGTAAGGCGACAAGATCCAAAGATGCTTCGAGTATGGCGTTATGACTTGCCAGCTTCGGAGAGACATCTAGGATCTCTTTTCGTATTTTTTCGTTCTTTGCTATGATATCAAAGCCAATATTTATTCAATAAATCGAGGTTATATCAATTTAAGAGAGATTAAGCGTGTCCGCTACCTAACTTTTCACAATGTTGTTTGAGAGATTCCGCCATGGGTGCTCCTTTTCCAGGCGAAGGAACAGTCTTTTGTCGACTTTCGCCTTGGGATCTTCTTTATTTAAGGCTTTGGCCGCAGGTCGCGGCACAGCCTTTGCAGTTGGGACTGCTTTCTGTTGCAGTCCATTTTTGGCCACCGTGGCCCAGGTGCTTTTTACAGGCAGCTCTGAGACGGCGGGAGCCCTTGGGAGAGGGTTCGCCGGGCAAGGAGGGAGAACGGGTGGCGTAGTGGCGTAGTGGCCGGGCCCGTGGCCATGTATTGCGCAATGACGGCGCGTAGGTAGACTCTCATCGAGTCTACGAATTGTCTATCTGACCCGTTGGTCAACGGGAGAAGGGTTGCCTCGACGCCGGAGATGGCGGCGGAACAGAGGGCCAGATTTGCTGCTGTTTCGGCGGCGCGTCGTTGTTCGGCCTCGACGATTGGTCGAAGCTCAGGAGGACGTTCTGCCTTCGTGGCAGCTTTGGGCTGCGACGTTGATTTTGACGCTGCTTTGGGTGCAGCGTTCTCCGAGGGTATTTGCGTGGTCGGAGGAGGTTTGGACGATTCTCCAATCCCGTGGGGGACGGAGACTCGGTGAGGAATTTCCTGAACAATTTCGACTGACCCGATCATGTAAGTATCGGGCTCAGTGACGGCGGGGAGGGCTTTTTTCTTCCCTTTGATTGAGACCTTGCTCATCTTTGCGCATTTCGGAGACTAGGCAAGGTCAGGTACTTAATCGAAAGCCCTCGGGTGGACTCTCGTGTTGTCCAACTTGGCGTTGGGACGCTTTTTTCGAACAGATGGCATGGTGAAAATGCCAGTGACTTGATCACAATTCTTTGATAAAATGCGACGAGCGCGAGAGGGAGGGAGAGGAGGAAAAGGTGAAGATTCGAAATTTCGAATTTCAAAAAATTGTGTGTTC